ATGTGTAGTTCATGTGTACAACATGTGTACTTGATGTGTATAACATGTGTACTTCATGTGTACAGTACTTCTTTTATTTTTTTTTCTTTCTGCTGCTCCCTTCTTCAGGGTTCACCACAGCAACCTAACTCACACAAAGACTTGGCGATTGTGGCAAAACCACAGACCACCAAGCTACCACAGCCCTCTGTGTGGAACAGAGGGCTGCTATCGAGGGCGCCCGGGGGAGCAGATAGTGGGGGTTTGAGGGCCTTGCTCAAGGGCCCAAGGTGGAGGCAGTTGTGGGTGTTTCACCTTTCTCACCCACATTTTGATACGGGGAGTTGAACCAGAGACCTTCCGATCACAGACCCACCTTCTCTAACCTCTGCGTCACCACTGCCCTCTTTCAACATGTGTACATAAACTATAAATTATGTTTCAGCGGAAACAAGTGCCTGAAGCCACACATGTAGGCATTTACACCAAGTGCTGATGTAATGTGATACACAGATACTGTGAGACCTTTGACTTTATTTTATAGAGAATATTAATCCATCTCAACCTGGGGTGGAAGGGTGTAAAAATGTTTGGGGAGGGGGGAGGGGGTGGTATTATATATATTGTAGCTGCTGCTGAAAAAAGCTGAACACATAAAAAAATCAAACCAGAGAGGTGCATAATTTAATCCTTCATGTTTTCACAGATCGACCATAAGGCTTACAAAATAAGAAAAGTTTACATGTTGCTAATTATGTTAATACTGTAATACTGAAAAACACTACTGTAGTCAAAGACAGACTTCATTCACAAAAGTTCTTTTCAGAATAATAAAAAAGCATAGATGGTTGGTGCATGTGAAGAGATGGTGAAGGATGACCAAAGTACATGCTGTAGAACTTCAGTCTTCTACATGACATGTTTTCAGTATGAATATAAAGGTAATGTTAAACATTGCTGATGTCATGCTTGTAGGTTATGTCTAAACACTGCGTGCAAAAATGTAAAATACAGAATGACTTTAATTGCAAATTGCAGTTTGGGATAATTGTTTCTCCATCTGTTTCTTCTTCTGCAATAAGTTGCTGATTTTTCTAATATTCTTCTGTTTAGTGTACAAAATAAAGTTTTACTAACTAAACAGTGTAATTTTCCAACTGTTCTTTTTATACAGCAGCTACAGCTTCTGATAGTCCTGTACATGTAAAATTGAAACAAAAACACAAGGCATGCACTGGATGTTTTTACCAGTGGTGGGATGTAACTAAGTACAAATACTTTGTTACTGCACTTAAGTACATTTTTCATGTATCTGTACTTTACTTAAGTAGAGTTAAATGTGGGTACTTTATACTTTTACTCCACTACATTTTACATCAAGTATCTGTACTTTCTACTACACTACATTTCTATGATGCGTTGCATTACAAGTTACATTCACGTTGTGGCTTTTTGATTTGTTTGTTACTTTAAAAGTAACCAACGGTGAGAGGGGAGCTGGTCCATTGAATCACTGTGAAGTGGGCAGGTAAAGTTAGGCCCGCCTTCAAGAAGAGCTGGACCAATGACATATATTCTAGTATATACATCACTGAGCTGGGTGCACCTGCAGCACCACTACACCCAAAATGTATTCCACTGCAAGAGAGTCAGCCAGAAGATATGCTCCACCCAGGGCCTTATTGAAAGACTGCTCAGTACAACAGGACAGATACTCTCTCCCAAAAGAGCCAGACTGGACTTAAAAATCTTTGAAAACCAACTTCTTCTGAACTTGAACAAGAAATCATTGCTGCAATATTAAAATATGTCAGTTCATGATGTTAGGAGACACGAGATGTCTCCAAATGTCTCGACACTCAGGTCCAAGTTTTAAAAATGGTGTCAGGAAGTTAAAATATTGTTCAATATTGACCCATTACAAGGTTGAATAGACATATTTTAACTAGAGTTGATGACAAACTGGAGTTGATGACAAACTGGAGTTGAAATATCAGTGGAAATGATCAGAGCCTATTTCATTGTTTGGTCTAATGCTCCTTTTGTTCATCCAGACAACTTTTACTTAAATGTGTTTACTGCAGTTAAAATGACACATTGGTTTTGCTTTGTGTTAAATAAAAACTTTCAAAGGTATAATCATTCCTCTTTCTTATTTTGTTTAATGACATTTAACTCTGCAGGTCATCCCTGAAATTCTGACGCACAGAATCACAAGTCCAAGTGTGAACGGTGTCACAGAGTAAACACAATAAAAACATGTATTATCTGCAGCTTTGTTCATTAAAAAGGAACAACACTATTAATGTATTACAGAATTTACACATATGGTACGCAGACTTAAAGATATGTAGACCATTACATTAGGTAATACATTCAGCAAGTACTTTTACTTTTAATACTTTAAGTATTTTAAAAGCAAGTACTTATTTACTTTTACTTAAGTAAAAATGTTAATGTGGTACTTCTACTTTTACTAGAGTACATTTTTGTCTTTTTATTTGTACTTTTACTTAAGTACAGTGTTTGAGTACTTTCGCCACCACTGGTTTTTACATAGTGAATAAAAATCCTCTTGGTTCTGATTCACTTCAGGTCCTCTACCAGAAGTCTGCATGGGGGCTTGATGGTTTTGTGCAGTATCTCAGCGGTTCCTAGAACTGTGCTCTCTTCCAGTTTGGGGTTCACAACACCAAGTGTTTAGGTAAGCTCCAGTAGGTTCAATGATCAAGGGTCAAGGAGACTTTATTGTCATCGCATCACCTGTGGTACATGAGGTGGAATGAAATTGTACCCAGGGTCCCAGTTACACCCAACAAAAGCACAAGAAGTAAAATAAAAACAATAATAAGATATAAGATGTGAACTAATAAAAACATTAGCTAAAATTACACTAAGCACTAATTGTACAAAAACAATATGCCGAACAGCAGCATGAACATGAGTCTGTGTGAGCAGACGAGCACGCATGAATACAGCAACATGAAACAGATCAGCAGCAACATGAAACAGATCAGCAGCAACATGATGATTTTTTCACAGTGATTATTCTGGTTAGGGATTCATGATTCTAACAGCCTCAGGGTAGAAGCTGTTCCTCAGTCTAGTGGTTCTACACTTAATGCCTCTCAATCTCCTGCCTGAGGGGAGCGGGGCAAAAAGTGTGTGTGCTGGGTGAGTGGGGTCCTTCATGATGCAGGTGGCCCTCTTCCTGCATCTGGAGGTGTAGATGTCTGTGATGGTGGGGAGACTGACTCCAACAGTCTTCTGTGCAGCCTTCACCACTCTCTGCAAAGCTTTTCTTTCTGCAGCTGTGCAGCCTCCATGCCACACGTTGATGATGGAGCACAGGATGCTCTCCACTGCACACCTGAGGAGGTGAGGACTGAGCCTCTACAAACCGGATTCCAAAAAAGTTGGGACACTAAACAAATTGTGAATAAAAACTGAATGCAATGATGTGGAGGTGCCAACATCTAATATTTTATTCAGAATAGAACACAAATCACAGATCAAAAGTTTAAACTGAGAGAATGTATCATTTTAAGGGAAAAATCTGTTGTTTCCAAATTTCATGGTGTCAACAAATCCCAAAAAAGTTGGGACAAGTCCATTTTTACCACTGTGTGGCATCCCCCCTTCTTACAACACTCAACAAACGTCTGGGGACAGAGGAGACCAGTTTCTCAAGTTTAGAAATAGGAATGCTCTCCCATTCATGTCTAATACAGGCCTCTAACTGTTCAATCGTCTTGGGCCTTCTTTGTCGCACCTTCCTCTTTATGATGTGCCAAATGTTCTCTATAGGTGAAAGATCTGGACTGCAGGCTGGCCATTTCAGTACCCGGATCCTTCTCCTACGTAGCCATGATGTTGTGATTGCTGCAGAATGTGGTCTGGCATTATCGTGTTGAAAAATGCAGGGTCTTCCCTGAAAGAGATGACGTCTAGATGGGAGCATATGTTGTTCTAGAACCTGAACATAGTTCTCTGCATTAATGGTGCCTTTCCAGACATGCAAGCTGCCCATGCCACAAGCGCTCATGCAACCCCATACCATCAGTGATGCAGGCTTCTGAACGGAGCGTTGATAACAACTTGGGCTATCCTTGTCCTCTCTGGTCCGGATGACATGGCGTCCCAGTGTTCCATAAAGAACTTCAAATCGTGACTCATCTGACCACAGAACAGTCTTCCATTTTTCCACACTCCATTTTAAATGACCCCTGGCCCAGTGCAAACATCTGAGCTTGTGGAGCTTGCTTAGAAATGGCTTCCTCTTTGCACTGTAGAGTTTCAGCTGGCAACGGCAGATGGCACAGTGGATTGTATTCACTGACAATGCTTTCTGGAAGTATTCCTGAGCCCATTCTGTTATTTCCTTGACAGTGGCATTCCTGTTTGAGGTGCAGTGACGTTTTAGGGCCCGGAGATCACGAGCATCCAGTAGAGTTTTACGGCCTTGACCCTTACGCACAGCGATTGTTCCAGATTCTCTGAATCTTTTGATGACGTTACGCACGGCTGATGATGATAACTTAAAAGTCTTTGCTATTTTACGCTGGGTAACACCATTCGGGTATTGCTGCATTATCTTTCTGTGCAACAATGGTGGAATTTGTGATCCTCTTACCGTCTTGGCTTCCGAGAGACACTGACACTCTGAGAAGCTCTTTTTATACCCAATCATGTTGTCAATTGACCTAATTAGTGTTAATTGGTCTTCCAGCTGTTCCTTATATGCTCAATTTCCTTTTTCCAGCCACTTATTGCTACTTGTCCCAACTTTTTTGGGATTTGTTGACACTGTGAAATTTTGAATCAACATTTTTTCCCTTGTTACATCCATCCATCCATTATCTTTACCCGTTTGTTCCATTTTGGGTCACGGGGGTCACTGATGCCCATGTCCAGCAATCACTGTGCGAGGGGCGGGGTACACCCTGGACGGGTCGCAAGTCCATCGCAGGGCCACATAGAGACAAACAACCATTCACTCTCTCACTCACACCTAGGGACAATTTAGAGTTACCAATCAGCCTAATATGCATGTTTTTGGACTGTGGGAGGAAACCGGAGCACCCGGAGAAAACCCACGCATGCACGGAGAGAACATGCAAACTCCACCCAGAAAGGTCCCTAGACCGGGGTTTGAACCAAGGACCTGCTCGCTGAGAGGCAGCAGCTCTACCAGTTGCGCCACCGTGCTGCCTCCCTTGTTACATTCCCTTGTTAAATGTTACATTTACTCAGATTAAACTTTTGATCTGTCATCTATGTTATATTACGAATAAAATATTGACATTTGCCATCTCCACATCATTGCATTCAGTTTTTATTCACAATTTGTTTAGTGTCCCAACTTTTTTGGAATCCGGTTTGTAGTAGGTTCAAGGTTCTTTGTTGTAATTTGCATAACATGTGGTACATGAGGTGGAATGAAACCCAAGGTCCCAGTTACACCCAAAAAATAGTAAAAAAAAATAAAATAAAATATAAAAAGATACAGTATACAAGGATCTAAGATATACGCTAAACACTTTCTCTTTCAGTCCTTGATATTTCTCAAGCTTCATGTGTTCATCCTGTCTGATGTTACAGTCACTTAACCCCACCTCCTCCTTCTGTAGTTTATCAACCATCACAACATCCTGTTGTTTAGCCATCACCCATTTGTGAGTCTGGATCTGAACATACAACATGATCCGAAATAGTCCATATTTATTCTATATCTTTTTAACTTCATTCAGGTTATGGTAGGTAGGTATGTAGAAAGAAATTTAAAAGGAGGATCAGATAAAATGAATTAGGCTACGGAGTGTTGTGATGTGTAGGATATATTAAACTATTCCTCTTTTACATCTGACCCAAATGTTTAGTAACAGATTCTACTTCTTAAACACCTAGCATTCCTTCAAGAATGCATTTAACCCATGCACCTCATGTGCAGTGGTGGCTCCTGAGCAAAACTATTAGTGTGGCGGACCATTTCCTGAATCACTAACCCACATATTTTTACAAATTGTGTTACATTTTATGTGACCCCCCCTCCCCCCATATATGTTAATATTTAATTTATTGGTTTTGTGTGTCTGTGTAGTTTTTGCCTTTTCTCTCTCCCACAGGTCAAGGTTGTGTCTCATGAGAAAAGCCATTTCTTATAAATGGTGACTTCAAATGTTAATCAGTTGAAAATGGGAGTTACACAAATTTTCACTTTTCACTATTTTAGGGGAAGCGGTGGTGCAGAGGTTAGAGAGAGCGAGACTGATCGAGAGGTCAGTTTCAAATTCCTCCGACCATTAAATTAAAATTTGGGTGTGAAGGGTGAAATCACCCACATCTGACTCCTTCATTCACCCCACCCCCATCTGCTCCCCTGGCCCACCTCAAAACGTCAGCCCTCCTGTGGTAGCTCGGTCTGTGGCTGCATCTGGAAGAGCATCCAGCGCAAAAACAATACCCATGTCTTCATACGACTTTGCTAATGGTGACCCTTGAAGAAGTAAGCAGTAAAAAAAAAAAACAATAATAATAATATCACTAGTTTCACTATCACGTTTCAGCACAAAAAAAGAAACTGTCCAGATGACCTGACTGAAAAATGTTGGAATAATATCACTAGTTTCATGACAGTGACAGGGTTGACAAACAATTATTGACAAGGTTTTACACAAAGCTGTTATACAATGAGCAGTTATGTTGTGAAATACTCCCAGCTAGTACACAACATCTGCTGAATTGTAGCAATTACTGTGTTTCCTCAGCTCAGTGGGCTCTAGTGTCCATCTTCAAATAGGACTTCAAAAGCTAATCAGCTGTAGATGGGCATCCAGTGATTATTTTCTGAAGGTTTCATTAACACTTGTTACATGATATTTTAGCAACAGACATTTATAAACCTCTCATGTTCCTTTCAAATGATCTACTCATAAGCATATTATGGATTTTAACCTACGCTGACTTGTGTTCAATAAACATGAGCGTATTTCTATTGAGGAACACAAGGCCAAACACCACAAGTGTTTAGTCAATATTAAAAAAGAAATTCATAGGTAAAAGACATATAAACATTTATTAATGAGTTATTTCAGACCATTAGGCAGAAGATACACAGACTGTCATGGGTTCTTCTGGAGGCTCTAAAGGCAGATCAAGTAATTTAAGCCCACAAACAAGATGAGATACCAGCAGCTATTGTGGAAGAAATGTGAGCAGCGGGAGTTGAAAATGCAGTGTTGTCTTCAAACATGTCTCATCAATGTTAATGAGAATAGAAAGTGCTCCAAGCCTGAGTGCTGCTAGCCTGCTGTTACCCACTACATGAGTACAAGAGAAATAAATCACAAAATGGTCTTTAAAACGAAATACATTTGGAGTAAACTAGAACAGTTTGTAAAGATTGTTTGATTGGTCTTTGCATGCCGCCTCAAGCAACACGTACTTCAGGTTACTCCGTTCTAAGTGCATTCAGTCAGAGGGCCCAACACAGCAACTGCTTCGATTTCAACGAGTCCACCCTGAAGACACAAAACACAGATGACAACTTTTAGTTTTTATAAAAATCGTCACAGAATCAGCAGAAAAGATCAAAGGTGTGTGTGAGGCACTCACTCTAGGGAGGGCAGCGACCTGATAAGCAGCTCTGGCTGGGAAGTTAGTGGTGAAAACTGGAGGAGAAAGTTCAGTTAAGGCTCCAACACACATTTAAACATATGGATATGAACTTATTCAGACAATATGGTTCAAGTCCATTAAATTATAAATGTGAGGGCAGCTCCCACTGTTGGTGCAGTATGGTTGGAGGTGGGCTACAAAATAACGTGCACTGCCTGTAGTACAGTTTTGTAAGTCGCTCACATAAAAATGAGCCATAGTTTTTAAAACTAGCCACACAAAACATGGCTTACTGTTCCAGTTGAGGTTTGGACTTTGGTCGCAAATACTCATGATTCAGTGAGACAGCAAAGGAAAACTTGCACATTATTCCACATTTCTGAGTGAAGTTTGAGTCACCAAGTAGTCTCCAACAGTCAGCTCAGTGAGATTCAACCTCAGGCTTTTCTCCTTCTTTAGTATCCAAACTCACATTCTAGATTCACTAAAAATATTTTCATTTTCTACCTCTCCCCTTGTCGTAGGCCTAGCCTTCGTACTAACTTTTATCTCTATTGTTTTTTTTTAGCCAGCCTCTTCCTCCTTTCTGCACTTCATTTTACCACCAAGTCTCCTTGTATTCTTTCCTCTCTCCAGAGGAAACACAAACACCTTCCCAGCAGTCACCTCATCATTTCCGCTGTACTTTCTCAGCCATCTGGTAACTCTTCCCAACCAGCCTGTCCCTGAACGCTACACAAAATTCTTCCTTCTTCAACTTCCACCATTCCACCTCTAGCTTTACTCACTTGTTCTTAATTATCAGGGTCATCCTCCAGTGCTGCCTACAGCACAGACTCCCCTGACACCACCTGCAGTCTCCTCTCTTCCAGGGTGCTCCTTCTACAAAGGATGTAGAAAAAAGCCCCAGTGGGTGTACCACTTCTTAAATGACCATGAAATTAATAGGAGGGGGAGCGGCAGGAGGGCTTTATGTCATCGGTAGAACGTCAGTGGTGATATATTGTCATCTATTAAGCTTCATCTATTGGGAGCAACAGGTCAGATTTCACTCAGCTAAATGACTCGGCACATTTCAACAGTCTGTGGGCTCATCTTTTATCAAAGCTGCTGAGTTTCTTGACTCTTATTTTATGCATGTTGGGCTCTTGAAAAATTACTCGTTACCAATATTTAGTCACAAGTGTCTTTATTGTTCACCTCAAAGAGCTGCCTAACAAAAACAGGGCAGTGAATGGCTGATTTAGTAAAAAGATGATTACAATAAGTGCATAAATATATAGAGTGTATGAACTATGACTCTGAAAACATCAGATAAATACAAAAGAGAAAATCTAGCGATTTTGAAGACATTTCTTAACAAAAAGAAGAAAAAAGTGAAAGTCAGGTGCTATGAACTTAAACACAGGTTGTCTGGGTTGTGCTGACACCCAGTGGTTAACTGGACGCCAGCAATCCCAGATGAAATTAATATCACCAATCACCTTTCAAGCTAGTGGCAGCCACCTGTTGTTATCCACCTGAAAAGGTTCTTACCCTTCTATTAACTTTAATGTGGCCCAAACGGCAACGTGTACCCCCACTAATGTTATATCAAAACAACCGGCTCGGCACCGTGATGTGTGCCATTACTTTTATTAGCCTTTTGAGTTACCATGGCAACATCATTTGCAAACAAAGATGCCATTTTTCTCATTGAACTCTGAACAGCTTCTAACTGTCCAGTGAGGTCACATGACCAAGAGTGGGAGGGTCTCTGAACAAAACACTGATTAACTTTTGGAGCCCTTTTGGTTCAAGATGGCTGCCACAGCTACCTCTGAAAACTCAAAATTGACTATAACTCAAGGAAATCTTTGAGATATTGAGCTGAAATTTGTTCTGTAGCTGAGAGCGAGTTGTTATACATTCCTAATGCAAATTAATAATCCAAGATGGCCGCCTTAGCAAAAAGGGAAAAAACACAACAGCTATTTTAAAGGATAATGAGCTGAAGTTTGGTGTGGTGGTAGCTGACTGCAATGCACAACACATTCTGAATTCAAATCTAAAAATGCAAGAAGGGTGCAAAAGCTAATTTCAAATGACCAAAGTTCATGTTCAATAATCCAGGTAAAAATCCCATAATGTTCAGTGAGGTCATCTGGACGGTTTCTTTTTTTGCTGAGAGATTTCGTCCTTCATCCAAACAACAATTTCTAATTTCAAATGGATAAAACTCAGCTGCTTTTAGAGCTATTCACCTGAAATTTGGTGTGGTGGTAGCTGAGAGCAATGCCAAGCACACAGTACTGTCAAATCATCATTCCACAATGGTCACAACGTGACAGTCCCCATCAAAGTTTCTTCAGGAACTTTCTAGTTTTGAGTTTAAATCAACTAAGTTGAGAAGAGATTTTAGCCATTTTAGTCAAACCTTGTGTTATCTCATGTCATACTGCTAGATGTCACGTAAGCTGCTAGAGTGTGTATAAGATGACTATCAGCCACTGCCACACCAAATTTAGCTTCATAATCTGTAAAATTGACTGAGTTTGTCATTTTGTATTGCTAAAGTCAATTAGCTGTAGCAGCCATGTTGAATTAGTTAGGTTCCCAAAGTTAAAGACAAATATACACCCAGTTATTATTTTTGTCCCAAGTCGTCCCGCAGTTAATGAGTTATTTTGTTAACTGATGTGGTTGATGCAAAAGTTAATGCCAAAGTTTTAGCCAAGTGTAGCATAATAAGTGACTTTCTGAGTTTGTACTGAGGATGATGCTCAGCGACAAACCAAAGCGATTTTAGTTCAATATCTGCAAAAATGTATGAGTTAATGTCACTTTGTGTGTTTTCTAATGTCAGCTGTGGTGCCTATCTTGAACTGTGTTGACTAAAAATGAATCAGTTGTAGATAGGCCTGTCGCGATAAACAACAAATCTATTAATTGCATGATAAATTAAAATTATCAACCTCATTTTCATTTATCGGCTTTATCGTTTCTTCATGTCTCTCTCTTTCTACTGAAGACACTGGATGATAAAAAGCTCAACTCCGGTGCTCTTCACTGACCCCTCCCTTTCTCTTTTCTCTTTAATATCCATTTTAACTGTCCAAAATCATGTTTTTGGATCATTAAAAGCAGCTAAGCTGAAAAGCTAAGCTACGAGCTAAGCTAATAGGCCGACCTCGGGGAAAAAAAACCTCCATCTTGTTGAAACTCCAAAATTCACAGTTGAAACCCGTGCCTTTGTGTAAAAAGTTGTTTTTCTCTTCAAAAAGAAGCTGGGAACTTGTTTACTGATTTTTTTTAATTAAAAGCTTTGTGTGAAAAACGCTACGCTAAAGAGTTAAAAAAACACCGACCGTCCACCATTTTGAGAACTGAAAAAAATGGAAGGAGAGACACGAGTCAAGGGGCCTCTCTTCCATTTTTCTTAGAGATACGCTGCTCACTCCCTCACTATCCATCCTTCGGTTCAAACAGTCTTATACTGCCATCTGGTGGTCTAAAAAATGTACTACATTCAAAACAAATTAACATTTCTTCTTAAATTTGATAATAATTACTAATTATTGTCAAATTTCAAACAATATTATCGTTTATCACAATAATTTCTGAGACAATTAATCGCCCAGCAAAATTTGTTAACGTGACAGGCCTAGTTGTAGATGTACATCTAATTAATTATCTATAAAATGTTAATTCAGATCCTCTGGACGGATTCTTCTTGTTGAAACGTTTCGTCTTTTATCCAAAATACTTCAGTCAGAATCTGTCCAGAGGACCTGACTTAACTTTGTTAGATTTTTCTACCTGGATTACTGAGCATGCATCAGGATATCCAATTAATTACTTTCTAAGAGTTTAATTAAAATTAATCCACTTATTCATGAGATTTTTTTGCTAATGCTAAGACAAATAACACACAGAGTCATTGGCAAAAACTTTTTCACCTTGGTGGGTGGCCATAATAAATACAGACAAGCCTGCAGTGATTGAAGTACATCACCGTACAGAATGATACTTACACTGCTTGTAAACATCATTGACATTTGAGAAATCGTTCATGTCGGCCAGCAGCACAGTAGTTTTGACAACTGCAAGAAATCACAGTAAAATGTCTGCAACACAAACAAAGTGAACTACACAGACACAAAACCTTTTGAGTCAGACAATCCATTCTCACCATTCTCATAGCTGCACCCAGCAGCAAGAAGAATTTCACCCATATTCACAAGAGCCTGAAAAATACAGACATGTCAGCAACACAAAGTGAACCACCTTTCATGCACGTGGAGTATCAGTATGATAGATTTAGCTACTAAATGAAAGAGTGTTGCAATAAACAGACTGGTCCTGAAGTTTGTAGCGTAAAACACCTGAGCTCACAGCTCTTTTTTCATTTTTACTGCACACCTTGGCTATGAGACATGAACAGAACAGCATATTAACCAGTCATAAAATGATGCTTATAAGAGTGGTAGAACATGTAATTGGAAACATGTAGTTACATATTAGTTTCTGATGTTGTGGGTCAGTGTGTTGAATGATGGACAGGTGGAAGTTGTCTGCGAGGCGTCACCTGTCTGGTTTGGGTCCGAACCCCACCATCCACCAGCTGCCCACTAATGGGATCCATCCCCAGCTGTCCTGATATGTACATGGTCCGATCAACCACCACCGCTTGGCTTAAAGACACAACAGAAACCAAATGTGACCTGCACTGAAATAAAGGCTTGTTTCTGTCAGCCACAATGTGAAATATTTTATCCCATCGTGTGCTTTAAGCTGCTGCAGACAGTCAGCAGGAAGTAAAATAAATAAACAATAAATCATTGATCATTTTTGGTTACACAAGTTATCCTGTGCTAGTGTTTAGAAGACGTGATGTTTTAGACCCAGACATGATTTTAATGATATATTACTGTTCTGCTTTGAATACGATTTTGTTTCTGCTCTGTTATTTAAAGCGAATGCATCCTGACATTTAGCTGTAACTGTACGTGAACTGTCACAGAGAAACCACAACACCAAAGTTGAAATTTAATCTACTGTATAAGGAGACAAGCTATTTTAAAACAATAAGTCACATCCAGTGGTAGACATGGTCCTTTGTAGAATGCACAAATAATTAAAGTCAATAAAAACTAACATTCCTTAAAGCATGTCATGCACAGACGTGTACTGCAGAAATTTAAATAAAGATCTCTCACAATTTGTCAGCATGTGGAGTGTGTGTCAAGGATGACTCTCAGCTACCACCTCCATTTGTAGTTCTTTCTCCATCAAACTGGTGGAGTTAAAATTTTATTTGTGTTAGCCCAGTTTCATCAACAGTGGAGGCCATTTTGAAAAAGGGTGACTGTAAAGGTTAAAAAGTTGCAATTGTACGTTGAATAATGCCGTTTTGAGAGTTTCATTAAAATCTATCCAGTTGTTCATGAGGTATCTTCACTATGGGTCCCTCGTGAAGAAAGCACAGCAGCGTCTGCACCTCCTCGGTGCAGATCATTAGGTCACCCCTCCCCTCCATCCAGGACACTGGTCTCAGACACTGTCTGACCAGAGACAATGGAATCAAAAGAGACAACTCTCATCCACAACATGGACGGTTTACTCTGTTGACCTCTGGCAGGAGGTACCACACCCTGAAGACCAGAACCACCAGGTTCTGCAACACTTTCATCCCACGAGCTGTTAGACTGCTGAACACAGGTCACTGATGAAGTGACCACAATAACAGACACACACAGACATAACTAAACACCAAAGTCTATAAAATTCTTATAAATGATGTACTCCTACACTACTGAGGAGAAATGAAGCACTGCTTTACAAAGAGAATGTTTATATTGGCCCAGCAGTGGCGGGCACGCTCCCGTTAGGCAAACCTAAACCGCTGTTGTGAATTTACAGTCAGGAAAAAAATAAAATAAAATAAAATAAAACCTCTTTCAGTTATTAGATTTTACAACACGGCCAATGATCAGATGATCTGATTTTTAAAAGGTTCAATTATTTTTAATCTAAAATTAAATGTTAATTCTGTCACTGCATCGTGTTAAGCACAAACAAAGCCAAAACGGAAAAGCGGTGTGTGAAAACCTAAGCACACCCAATGATGGATCCATCAGCTTGTACCACCTTTAGCAATAATTCCTTGAAGTTATCGTCTTTATGATTTGAGTCTCTCATGTGGTTGTAGAGTTTTAACCTTGCTTCAGTTCATAGAAGTTGGCAGACATCAGTTTCTGCACAGCTTCAAGGCCTCACCACAGCATTGTGATCAGGTTGAGGTCTAGACTTTGACTGGACCGCTGCATCACTGGTCAACCTGTTGCAGATTTGCTGCTGTGTTTGGGATCCTTGTCCTGCTTCATGACCCAGTTTGGTCCAAGCTTCAGCTGTCAGAGTCAGACGGTCTCACATTTGACTCTAGAGCTCGTAGGTCTACAGAGGCTATAGTGGGCTCAGTGAGGTGCCCTGCTCCTGTGGCTTCAAAACAAGCTCTCCACCATCGTACTTGAAAACATTTGGTATGAGGTGTCTCTGACGCTGTACATTAAGATAAATATACAATATACTTTGGTTTGATCTCAAATCTGTCCTCTCAAACCAGCCGGTCAAAGCAGATGGTCGCTTGTCCTGAGCCTGGTTCTGCTGGAGGTTTCTTCCTGTTAAAAGGGAGTTTTTCCTTTCCACGTTTGCCTTTGGGCTTGCTCAGAATGGGAGACTGTGACAAAGTGACGATTCAACGAGTCTGCTGCATGTGAATGTTTCTGTACAGTGCCCTGAGACAACTTCTGTTGTGAGTTGGTGCTGAACTGAATCTGTCCAGAGACATTGTTCACAAAGTCATGTGGTTCATTCAGTTGCAGCCTTCAAACCCAAGTCTTACTGCCAAAAGGCTTTCTCCTGGCATCTTCCAAAAAGCAATACTTGTTTAATCTTTAGTTTTTAGTCTTTTCAGACTCCTGTAGAGACTAAAGTGAAACTCTTGCAATTTTTCCTTAACTTCGCATGGTCTGACCTTGGGGTGAATTTGCTGGAACAAGCCCTGAATGTTTTCCTTGTTAATGACCCTTCTCACTGTAGAATGATGGACTTCAAACTGTTTGGAAATGACTTTATAACCCTGCATGGATTTCTTTTGCTATGACTGTGAACTTTCCAGACTAAGGTTTAAAATAAGCTCCTAATTTGTAGTCATTTTAAAATCTTCCAAAGTGTTCTTAAAGTTCTAGTGCTGTTTATGAGCAAAAAGTTTGTTTTAATATACAGTAAATGCATAATAAATATGTTAGTACCTGGAGATGGTCCCTGAGGTTAAAAAAGGTTTTAAACCCACTGATTCAGGACTTTACATCAAATACTATTTAATGATTACATGTGACATAAGATGCTTAAAGACTTAAAAGCATGGTTTGATGTCGGTTTTAATAGCTCAACCATTCAACATGCCACAGTGTGAAGTTCAAAATCCAAAAACTGGCACTGTGCTCGCACCATGGCTCTTTCCGTTTCTCACAAAATAAAAAAAAGCTGTCAAACATCGGATTAAATAAATCAACATATGTCAATAAATACACCATGCCTTCCCTGACATGACCTGCGGGGCCCCTTAACCTCTGGTAGGCCCCCGGACTAAGCAGTCCAGTAGGGCCTCCACACCTTGGGTCCCCCCCCCCCCCCCCCCACACACACACACAATTTTACCATAGTTGCCAAGTACGCTTATTATAAGCGACTTTGGGCTTGTTTTTTTCTAAAGTCGCTTATAAATTTTGTGAGTCGTGGGTTTCGGTTTTTTGGGCTTGTTTTAAACGTTAAGTCGCTTATTTGGGCTTGTTTTTCTGTCCCGAGTGAAAGCAAAAGACGAGTGGTAGGTAGTTTGTCCCTTCACACGCCCCTTCCACAGATGTTACGTCCAGGCAGATGTTACCAGATATTACGTTCAGGTGCGGCTGGTGCCAGTTTGTGCTGCAAAGATTTCATTCCAACCAAAGAGATGCTCGAGCACTTTAACAGTCACATGTACTCTGTGGGAGGAACATTTGGAAGCACAGAGACAGATGCAAACGAAAACAGCGATGATGGATTGTAGTTCAGGTAAAAGCTATTTTTACATGTTTTTCATCTGTACCAGGCGTTATGCTGATTTTCCCATATGTGATTTCTGTGTTACAGATGAACAGACCTGATGGGGAAGCAAGAAAAACAGAGGAAATAAGCTGGTTTCACACTTGACCTGTTTGAGTTGTCTCATGTCTGTCTGCTTTTAAACAGAGTTTAAAGAAAGTTTTTTGTTGACTGTTTGTGTTTACAATGAGTTTGCTGTTTAAAAAACAACAATAATTTGTACGCATCCATTGATTATCTATTGTTGTCATTGTTGTCAATTGTTGTCATCACTTTTTGTTTAAAATTCATGTATCTCTGGTAAAGGAGTGAACAATGCCCCAAAGACCCATCTCTGCCTGATGCCCTCAACAAGTTCTATGCACGCTTTGAAGACCCGAACAGACCACCCAGCACCAGACTCACCTCGCCACCGGATGAAGAGCATCTCAGTGTGACCTCAGCAGAAGTAAGGAGTACCTTCAGGAGGATTAATCCACACAAAGCAACTGGCCCAGACAACATCCCCGGAAAAGTATTGAAGGAATGTGCTGATCAGCTCTGTGAGGTGCTGGCAGACATCTTTAACACCTCACTTACCCTGGAGACAGTTCCCACCTGCCTGAAGGCTGCCACCATCATCCCAGTCCCAAAAAGCTCTACGGTGACTGGTCTGAATGACTATCGGCCAGTGGCCCTCACCCCGATAGTCGCTAAATGCTTCGAAAAACTGGTCATGACTCACATCAAAATTACCATCAACATCAACGAGGACCCTCATCAGTATGCATACCATGAGAACTGATCAACAGAAGATGCCATCTCCTCTGTGGTCCACACTGCGCTCAACCACCTGGAGAAGAAAAACTCTTACGTCCGTATGCTCTTTGTGGACTTCACATCCGCCTTCAACACCATGATCCCCCAAACCCTGATGGACAAACTATCCACACTAGGACTAAGCCCCTCCATTTGCAACTGGGTACTAGACTTTTTAACAAACAGACCACAGTTAGTGAGGATCCACAACCTCTCCTCCTCCACCATAACCCTCAGCACTGGCTCTCCTCAGGGATGTGTGTTGAGCCCCCTCCTGTTTACTCTGCTCACATATGATTGTGCAGCTACCCATCCAGGCTGTCACATTGTAAAGTTTGCAGATGATACAGCGGTGGTGGGATGCATCACAAACAATGATGAGTCCAGCTACAGGCA